TGGTACCAGTACCATGCTGTTTTGGTTACTGTAGCCTTGTAGTATAGTTTGAAGCCAGGTAGTGTGATGCCTCCAGATTTGTTCTTTTTGCTTAGGATCGTCTTGGCTATATGGGCTCTTTTTGGTTCCATATGAAATTTAAAGTGTTTTTTTTTTTTTTTTCTAATTCTGTGAAGAAAGTCAATGGTAGCTTGATGAGGATAGCATTGAATCTATAAATTACGTTGGGCAGTATTGCCATTTTCATGATATTGATTCTTCTATCCATGAGCATGGAATGTTTTTTCCATTAGTTTGTGTCCTCTGTTACATCCTTGAGCAGTGGTTTGTAGTTCTCCTTGAAGAGGTCCTTCACGTCCCTTGTAAGTTGTATTCCTAGGTATTTTATTCTCTTTGTAGCAGTTGTGAATGGGAGTTCACTCATGATTTGGCTCTCTTATTATTGGTGTATAGGAATGCTTGTGATTTTTGCACATTGATTTTGTATCCTGAGACTTTGCTGAAGTTGCTTATCAGCTTAAGGAGATTTTGGGCTGAGACAATAGGGTTTTCTAAGTATACAATCGTGTCATTTGCCAACAGAGACAATTTGACTTCCTCTCTTCCTATTTGAATCCCGTTTATTTCTTTCTCTTTCCTGATTGCCCTGGCCAGAACTTCTAATACTTCCAAAACTGTGTTGTCTTGTGCCAGTATTCAAAGGGAATGCTTCCAGCTTTTGCCCATTCAGTGTGATATTGGCTGTGGGTTTGTCATGAATAGCTCTTATTGTTTTGAGATATGTTCCATCGATACCTGATTTATTGGGAGTTTTTAGCATGAAGGGGTGTTGAATTTTATCGAAGGCCTTCTGCATGTATTGAGATCATCATGTGGTTTTTGTCATTGATTCTGTTTATGTGATGGATTACATTTATTGATTTGAGTATGTTGAACTAGCGTTGCATCCCAGGGATGAAGCCACCTTGATCGTCATGGATAAGCTTTTTGATGTACTGCTGGATTCGGTTTGCCAGTACTTTATTGAGAATTTTTGCGTTGATGTTCATCAGGGATATTGGCCTGAAATTTTCTCTTTTTGTTGTGTCTCTGCCAGATTTTGGTATCAGGATGATGCTGGCTTCATAAAATGAGCTAGGGAGGAGTCCCTTTTTAAAAATTGTTTGGAATGATTTCAGAAGGAATTATACCAGCCCCTCTTTGTACCTCTGATAGAATTTGGCTGTGAATCCATCTGGTCCTTGGCTTTTTTTGTTTTGATTGGTAGGCTATTAATTACTGCCTCGATTTCAGAACTTATTATTGGTCCATTCAGGGATTTGACTTCTTCTTGGTTTAGTCTTGGGAGGGTGTATATGTCCAGGAATTTATCCATTTCTTCTAGATTTTCTAGTTTATTTGCAAAGAGGTGTTTATAGTATTCTCTGATGGTAGTTTGTATTTCTGTGGAATCAGTGGTGATATCCCTTTTATCATTTTTTATTATGTCTATTTGATTCTTCTGTCTTTTCTTTATTAATCTGGCTAACAATCTCTTTTGTTAGTCTTTTCAAAAAACCAGCTCCTTGATTCATTGGTTTTTTGAAGGGTTTGCTGGAAAGGATATGGAGAAATAGGAACGCTTTTACACTGTTGGTGGGAGTGTAAATTAGTTCAACCATTGTGGAAGACAGTGTGGCGATTCCTCAAGGATCTAGAACCAGAAATACCATTTGACCTAGCAGTCCCATCACTGGGTATATACCCAGGGGATTATAAATCATTCTATAAAGACTCATGCACACATGTGTTTATTGCAGCACTGTTCACAATAGCAAAGACTTGGAACCAACCCAAATGCCCATCAGTGGTAGACTGGATAAAGAAAATGTGTCACATATACCACGGAATACTGTGCAGCCATAAAAAAGGATGAGTTCGTGTCCTTTGCAGGGACATGGATGAAACTGGAAACCATCGTTCTCAGCAAACTAACACAGGAACAGAAAACCAAAGACCGCATATTCTCACTCATAAGTGGGAGTTGAACAATGAGAACACGTGGACACAGGGAGGGGAACATCACACACTGGGACCTGTTGGGGGCTGGGGGATGAGGGGAAGGATAGTATGAGGAGAAATACCTAATATAGATGATGGGTTGATGGGTGCAGCAAACCACCATGGCACGTGTATACCTATGTAACAAACCTGCATGTTCTGCACATGTATCCTAGAACTTAAAGTATAATAATAAAAAAAAAAGAAAGACAGAAAAATAATGAGATTTCCAAGAAAGTTTGTACTTTCTTTGAGCCGTTGAAATCGGGCAACAGATGAATAAATTAGGCAAGTGAGAGGCAGTGGCTTTACAGGAAAAAGATCAGCTATAATTCAGCTTAGACATCCCTGTGACTATGACCCAGTGATTTTTATTACTGATTGGCCAGTAATTTCCAATGCGTAGTAGCTTACTACCTAATGAGTTGATTCGTCTGTTGGACAGAATCCATTGTTAGAAAATTCTTTCTTTTGCTGATCTGAAATCTATATCTTTTGTTACTGGCCCTTGCTTGGGTTTTTTTTTGTTTTTTTTTTGGGGGGGCATAATACTTAGTAGGCCTGTTGGTTGTATTGCCCCATTAGGATTTAATTCTTCAGCTTAAATGTCTCTAGTGTCCTTCGTCTTCCTGGGTTTTGAAACCTTTATCATCTTGATTATCCTTCCCTGAGTGTAATTTATCAGCATTTCTCTTAAAATGCAAGACCCAGAGCTAGTAACTGATCATGTTTCACTTAATCTGCCAGTGTGAGAGGTTGCATAGTAAAATGTAAAAAAATTTGCATTTTAGGACAGACTATATCATTAATTGTCACTTTGAGCCTAGTTTTCCTCAAATAGAAGATTATCCAACACTAATAAAAGATGAGTAACAAAGCTTTCTCGATATGGGAAATTTTGATATTAGTAAAAAGAAGTGAAATATTTTGCTTTCATGAGAAAAAAAGTATATCAACCTTCATGCTAAAAATCAAATTCTTGCTAATGTTGACGTTAGTCAACTCATATGAAAATCTAAGGAAAGAATTGTAAGATCATTTCAGTGACATTGTACTTAGTATTATTTATGTACACTTAATATCTTGGGGGAGGTTAGCTTTATTGCCTTTCATAGTTTCCTTTAGGTGTTGCGTTTAATCTAGCTGTTTATATTTGACGTCTATATTCTAATTTAAGTATTTGCTATGAAGAATAACCGTCACTCATTTTACTGATTTCCTGGTATGACCAAATTTATCTTAGTTTTCCTAAGTCTGTTTTTTATAACCTCACCATTTTGATTTGAAAACATTTCCGGAATCTTGTTTGTGGTACTCGATCTGTATTCAAGTCTCATGTGTACCACTGAGAAACCTTGGGTTCTCGGGCAGGTCATTTAACTGGCCTATACACACACTTCTCCTTCTGCGTAGTGAGAGGCTTTTACTTCTTAGATTCTCCTCCTCTACCCCATCCTCTACAGGAGCCAGAAGAAATCCAAACTCACCTCTGCCCATATCTTCAACCTCTTTCTTCTGTGCAATACCTTTTATCTATCCTGGCTGCTCAGGTTTTTTCACAGCACTTCACAGTTTATGTGTGTTTTTGCTTTATTTACTTGTTGTTTGTTTCCCCCTCTGGACTAGATGCTTGATGGGGGCAGAGAATGTATTTTCATTCACTGCTCTAAAACCTGATGCGCAATAACGTGTGTTGCACGTAAAAGATGCGCAAAAAATCCTGTGATACTGCTATTACTTTCAGATAGGCAGGCAGCTTTTTCTTTCTCCTGATGTAGTGTTTATTAAGTTCTTTCCGGCCACTTGGACATTCATATTAAAATGAAATTTTAACTATGTAAATATACATTACAATGCCATATGAAGGCTCAAGCTCCAGATATGTCAGTCTCTGTTGTATTCTTTGTTGATACATTTCTAGAATAGTTTTAAAATTACAGAATGTTCCTAGTGATTTGTTGTTTGCATATGACTTGGTAGCCTTGGCCTGTCCGTACTATAAAATGTGACTCTAGCCTAAGCTTAAGTATGTTGATGTATTTGTTGTGTAGGTGCCAAAAATTTACTCCTTTTAATAGTGTCAATATTGATATCTGTCATCTGGAATGCAAGAATCTTCCTGAAAATTTGCTAATAAATGTAATACTACTGCCATACTGCCCAGAAATAATTTGTGTTTTTTTTGGGTGAAGTACCAGAATACCGTTTGGTCACTTACCTAGTGGCTTAAAGGAACCAGAGCATCTATCCAAAGGAGCCATTTAGTTTCCTCCCAGCACTTATGATTGAGCCTTTTTTGACTGTTTCAGAAGTGAGATTAGAGAAGTTTGTCTTGTTCTTTTGTCTCTTTTGAGGTTGAAGTTTAGGAGATTGACTCATTTTGGCCATTTTCTTGTTTCATTTTTACTGTAGGCAGTAACTGGGGCTAAAGCTCTGGGGAGGCACTTGGCTATGCTTGCTGAAGTATTTCCATAGTTGGACTGTCTCTGGCAAATAAGTAAATTTCATTTGAAGCTTTTCAAAGCTGTGTAAATCTTGGCAGAACCCCATAGAAAGCATAGCATATAGTTCCTTTTAAAACAACTACATTATTAAATAAAGAATTTGGGGAAAGCATATTGCTTTAATGGTCTTAATACCATTTAAAAAGATCCTTCTACATTAATATTCAAAATGTTTTCTAGTAGTGGTGGAAATCTTCTGCATCTACTAGTTCAAAGGTAGGCTTTCCCAGTCTTTTGGGATCTAGCAAGGATGTTTAGTCTTACCTGCAACTGTCCCTGCAAGAATGTAGATTTGAAGTTTTTAATAAAGTTGACCAGTTCATGTATTTCTGATGAATTAAATAGAGGAGAATGGCATTTGAGTAATCAGAAAATACTACCTTAAAATAATAAAATTTAGAAAGTGATGGCATTATAATGTTTTCAAAGCGTAATGATGTTAACTAAATTATCCAGTTACTGACTAGTACTTTTTTTTATACCTCTCCCCAGGGAAGGAAGAATATGCAAGATGGTGCAAGTGACGGTGAAATGCCAAAATTTGATGGTGCTGGTTATGATAAGGATCTGGTGGAAGCCCTTGAAAGAGACATTGTATCCAGGAATCCTAGCATTCATTGGTTAGAGTCTTTGAAATTATTGAATTAAAGTAGAGGAGAACACAAGTTATAGGTTGGCTTGGTGTGAGTTTTCTCTTGTTATTCATTAATCTGATTATGACCACCTCTGTAATGTGAAAGTATAGAATTGACGGGAGAGTTCTGTCGAATGTAACCAGGACATTTTACATGTTAATTTGAAGTTGATATATAACTGACAAAAGTTGTTAATTCAGTGACATGTCCTCATTAATAACTAATGTTTTCACTGATGTTTTTATGCAATAAGAATTAGAATAATGTTCTTAATATGAGAACAATTTCATAAGTAAAAAAAATTAGAAGAATTAGGTTTGGCCATAAATCAAAGATCCCTGAATAAACATTATGAAACTTTGCTGTTCTTTCAAAGGGATGACATAGCAGATCTGGAAGAAGCTAAGAAGTTGCTAAGGGAAGCTGTTGTTCTTCCAATGTGGATGCCTGACTTTTTCAAAGGGATTAGAAGGCCATGGAAGGTGAGAATTTATTAAATTGGTTTTGGTATAAGAATGCTGCTTGCATCAGAATGAAAGGCAGCATTGCTGTAGTTTTTGATGTATTTAACCCATTTTGAAAAGGTTGGGAGAAGTTTATATACACCCAAAACACCTGGATTTGAATTTGTATTGTGATGTGTTACATCTGCGTAGTAGGAGAGATGGGCTTGGAGTGTTGAAACTATATAGTCTTTAGGTCACTTCCCTCAGGGATGCTGAGCTAGAGATTAGTTTTAAGAATTTTCTAGATATATGGTTCTGTAAATAAAAAGTTAAGCAGATTAAGCAGAAATAATGCATAGTCTTATAGAAGAAAGGTATGATCAAACAGTATTTTTCAAAAGTTGGAATATTTCTCATTGATGGTTATTTTGTTTTACTTGTCACTGACTTGAAGCTCATTGTTGACTGTTTTATAGACTACATTTGCTATATTTTGAGTTTTCACAAATGTTTTTTCTAAAGAGAGGTCTTTAGCTGTGTTTTTAAAAACGACTTCTTGACCGGGTACCATGGCTAACCCCTGTAATCCCAGCACTTTGGGAGGCTGAGGAGGGTGGATCACGAGGTCAGGAGATCGAGACCATCCTGCCCAACATGGTGAAATCTCATCTGTACTGAAAATACAAAAATTATCTGGGCATGGTGGTGCGTGCCTGTAATCCCAGCTACTCGGGAGGCTGAGGAAGGAGAATTGTTTGAAGCCGTGAATCGGAGGTTGCAGTGAGCCAAGATCGTGCAACTGCACTGCAGCCTGGCAACAGAGCCAGGCTCCATCTCAAAAAAACAAACAAACAAACAAAAAAACCCACTTCTTATGTCATTACAGAATATCTGACTTTATGAATTTATTTTGTCCTTGCTGTGCTTTTGTAGTATTTATTGGCAAAGTAGCTTAAGAAAATAAGATATATTTCTAAAGAATCTTTTTCCTGACCAAATAATTTTTTTTCTGCAACAGTAGAATAAAATTCTTGACTAGAACTATTATTATTTTTTAAAAAATCATGTTTGAATTTTTTAGGGATTTGTGAGAATGGATTATTTACTAAAATGGGACAATAAATTTATTTTATTTACTTTTTGAGACTGAGTCTTACTCTGTTGCCCAGGCTGGTGTGCAGTGGCATGATCTTGGCTCACTGCAACCTCTGCCTCCTGAGTTCAAGTGATTCTTGTGCCTCAGCCTCCGGAGTGGCTGCAATTACAGGTGTGTGCCACCACGCCCAGCTGAATTTTGTATTTTTGGTAGAGGCTGGATTTTGCCATGTTGGCCAGGCTGGTCTTGAACTCCTGGCCTCAAGTGATCCGCCCACCTTGACCTCCCAAAGGCCTGAGATTACAAGCATGAGCCACTGTTTCAAGCCTGATAAATGTATTTTAAAGAATACTTGAAAATAAGGACACCTCAGAAATTTTTCAGGTTTATAAAATTTGTCTCAAAACGTAAATTCCAGAATTTCAGAACTGGAATGAGTCTTTGAGATCATCTTAAATCCCCATTATTTGACAGACTAGAAAATTGAAGTCCAAATAGGTTGTGACAACCATAATAGACCTTTAGAAAATTTAAAATTCAATGTGTCTCAGCTTCTTATGTTTATATGTGCCTTTCCCTCCATAGCACACTTCTGCGTTGTGTGATACCATTCCTTTATCCTTCAGGCATTTACTTAGCCCTGTTATATGTAAGGTTCCTTGTTTCTCAAGACATAGTCCCTGAGCTGTGAGACATCCTAAATAGAGAGTTGGGCAGTTACAGATAGCTTTCAGTGTTAGGCACTAGCAGAGCCTAATGGGTGGTACAGTCCACATGTGCTTGGAAAGCTCAGCAAAGCACAAACATGACATGATTAGAGAAGGCTTTATGCTTGAGGACGTGGGATTCAAGCTGCAATTTGTAGGGTTGTGAGGATTTCACTGTGTTGGAGGAGACATTTTAGAGATGTAGGAACTTGAGGGGGATGAATGATGTGAGCAGTGGAATATAGTGAGAAAGTGTAAGTGTGTTTGGGAATAGATGCGTTGACGTTTCGTAAGGAAGGCAGCATAGAATATTGGTAAGGGGCACAGATCCTGGATCCAGACTGGGTGCATACGAATTCTAACCATTTCCACTTACTCTGTGATCTTGAGCAAGTTATGGAACTTCTCCATGCCTCACTTTCCTTAGCTATAAAATGGGAATAATAATAGTTATCTCATAGGATATAGTGAGGTTAAAATGAGTTAATGAGGCCTTAGAATTATGTAAATGTTGAAAACATAAATTAGTGGAAGATTCCAATGGGAAGGTAGGTTGAGGCCAGACTGTATTTCCCAGTTCTATTCTTTTTCTATAGATGTTTGGGAGACGTCTTTGAGCAGGTTGGTAGCATAATTAAACTGGTGAGTTGGAAAAAACAGTCTGGTTGCAATGAACACAGAAAGATGTGAGGCAAAGAGCATGTTCAGAAGTGATTGGCAGTAGTTTAGGCTTAAAATTCAAAGAGCCTGAATTAGGATGGTGATTATGAATTAGGAATGGAAGGACAGATGCTAGTGATATTTACTGAAGGAAGTTGGTAACCTTTTGGATGTAATATATATGTCAAGAAGAAGGCAGGGGTAAAGATAATTGGGTTTTGCCTGTGGCAGAATAGTGATGATAACATAAATGTGGAGCTCAGGAAGGAGAAAGACACTGGTTTATTGTTCTTGATGTTGAAAGTTCAGTAGGAGCAGGGGGTGCTTCTGGGGAAAAAGATATGGAATTATTTTTGAGTTTTAAATTTTGGTATATTAACGTGGAAATATGCACCAAGTTAGAAATACAGGGCTGGCCGGGCGCGTTGGCTCACGCCTGTAATTCCAGCACTTTGGGAGGCTGAGGCGGGCGGATCACGAGGTCAGGAGATCGAGACCATCCTGGCTAACACGGTGAAACCCGGTCTCTACTAAAAATAAAAAATTAGCCAGATGTGGTGGCGGGCGCCTGTAGTCCCAGCTACTCGGGAGGCTGAGGCAGGAGATGGTGTGAACCCAGGAGGTGGAGCTTGCAGTGAGCCGAGATCGCCCACTGCACTCCAGCCTGGGGGACAGAGCGAGACTCCGTCTCAAAAAAAAGAAATACAGGGCTGAAGCTTGTGAGAGAAGTTAAAGACAGAGATATTAAGTGCCTTTTCAAAAATACGTATCTCTGGGATGAACTTTTCTGTAACAGAATAATAGCGAGGTCCTTCTTTATAAGTTTTAAGATCAGATTATATGATTTTTATAAAGGCAACATTTAAAATTTTACTTAGAAAATAAGGAGATGCCCAAGAAATAGACTACTGTATTTTCAGTGGCTGAAGTATAAACATATGCTTGAATCACTCTTACATTGAGACTCTAGCCATCTATCCATTTATCATCCAGCCTATCTTAGCACTTCTCAGACTGTGTCATAATATATCTATCTATATTTTCTAATAGATTAAAAGTCTCTTGAGGATTTATGTGTGATTCCTGATAGATTCAATTTTTTTTCCTCAGGGCCTAGTACTTAGTAAGCATTGGATACATTTACACTGGGTAAATACATATTTATTGAGTATTTACCTTGTGTCACGTGATAGGCTAAGTGCGGAGGATACCAAAATGAGTGAAGAATAATAGCCCCCAAGAAGCTCATGGTCTTTGGGTGAATAAGCATGTGTTTAATGGAGGCCATGTGTTAAGTGCAGTATTTGTTGAGGACAGTGTGACTAGTGTCTGAAAGAGTAATGAACTCACTGCTATGGCAGGAGAGAGGAAGAGGGACTTAGTCTGCTGTGGAGAATAATATCAGGGATGGCCTCCCAGAGCAGGTGACTCTGAGCTGAGACTTGAAAGATGAATAGAAGTTAAACAGGTAGATGTGATGAAGAAAGGCTCTAAGGCAGAGTGAATATCATGTACAAACACATGAAAAGTGTAAGAGAACATAGTATATGTGAGGAATCTTCTGTAGTTCAGTGTGGCTGGGAGGATAGAGTGTTTATATGGGACATAGTAACAAAAGACACTGCTGGAGTGGTTGGTGTGACCTACTTCTCACAAAGAGCCCTGCATGCCATGCCAAAGATGTCAGTGAGCCACTGAAGAGTTTTTAGTAGAAGGGTATTTGCAAGTGTAGGAAGATATGTTTTCTGTAGCAGTATGGAGGATAGGTTGGGGATGGACATAGATGGACATGAAAAAGTAATCTCATCAGGAGGCTGGTGAAATAATCTAGCCAAACAATGAGGACAGATACCTGTAGAAAGGCATGGGCTTTTTGGTTAGTGAAGAATCAATGGATTTGTGAGAGATGTTTAGAAGGTATAAGTGACTGACTGTTTACAGGGATGTGGGAGAGACAAGTTGTATGACTCCCAGATTCCAGGCTTGAATTGAATGACTTCTGACATGACCTACCTAGAGTTGGGCCAAACTTCACAGGTTGAGAGCCCAGTTTTCCGCAAGACTGCCCTCACTTTAGACACTAGCTGCAAACCTGGGGATCCCTGGGTCACTCTTAAAACCAGCTGACTACAAATTCAGGGGTTCCCACTACCCTCTCAGGTTTGATAATTCTCTAGAACAACTCACAGAACTTAGGGAGGCCTTACAGTTGAGCCCAGGACAACATAGGCATGAATATCGCGGATCCCCTTACACATGGCTTTTCTTCTGCCTCTGCCGCCCCAGAGACAACAAGGCCAACCCCTCCTTTTCCTCCTCCTCCTTAGCCTATCCAAGCTGAAGACCTTTAAGGTGACACACTTCCATTTAATGAATAGTAAATATATTTTTCTCATAATTTTTTTAATAACGTTTTCTTTTTTCTATGTTTATTGTAAGAATACAATATACAATACATATACAAAATACGTGTTTACAGTTTTTGTTATCAGCAAGACTTCAAGTCAACAATAGGCTATTCATTGTTATGTTTTTTTGGGAATCAAAAATTATATGCAGATTTTTGACTGTGTAGGAGATTGGTGCCCCAACCCCTGAGTCGTTCAGGGAGCAGCTGCACTTACAATGATATTGTTATTATAGCCAAAGGATATAAATTGGAACCAGCCAAAAGGAGAAACTTACAGGGCGAGGTCTAGAAGGATGCGCAAGGCGACGCTTCTTTCGCCCTCTCTTCCTGGAGTCAGGATGCTTTACTCTCCTGGAAGTGTGACAATATGGAGATTATGGCATCACATGGACGTGTGATAGTACTGCTATAGTTTGGATATGGTTTGGTTATTTGTCCCACCAAATCTCATGTTGAAATTTGATTCTTGATGTGGTAGTGTTGGGAGGTGGTGCCTAATGGGAGGAGTTTGGGCCATGGGGGCAGATCCCTCATGAATGGCTTGGTGCTGACCTCATGATAATGAGTATGTCCTCACTCTGTTCATTCTCATGGGAAGTGGCTGTTGCCCCTCTCTCTTGCTTCTGCTCTTGCCATGTGAGTTCTGCATGCTGCTGGCTCCCTTTCACCTTTCTCTATAAGTGGAAGCAGCATGAGGCCATCACTAGAAGCTGAACGGGTGCAGGCACCATGCTTCCTTTACAGCCCGCAGAACTGTGAGCCAAATAAACCTTTTTTTCTTTAAAATTACCCAGCCTCAGGTATTTCTTTGTAGCAACACAAATGGACTAAGAGAAATACATAGAGTATTGCCAATTAGGGACGCTCACGTGATCAATTGAATCATTGCCCATGGTTCTTAATCTCTTGTTCTCTTCCTCTCCCCAGAGGTGAGTTGATATCACATGGCTCAAAGCCCCAGCTCTGTAATCACATGGTTGGTTTTCCTGGCATGGTCACCCCCCATCCTGAGTTGTCTTGTTGGTGTTAACTATATAGGGGCCCACCATGAGTCACCTGATTAGCATAAAATTTCAGGGCCTATTGTGATAACAAAAATAATCCTGTCGGTAGGGTATTTCCACGGTTTTAGAGGCTATTTTCCAGGGACCGGGGACAAAGGCCAGCTAAATTCTTTATTATACAGGGTGCAGGGAACTGATATTGGAAATAGAGAAAGGAGCAGGTTTAAATAGAAACAAAATGTGTTTCAGTAAATACTCAGCAGCTAATTCGAAATAGAGGCCGGGAGCTTCAGATAAAATTCAGTAAAATTGTGAGATAGAAAGGTTGGTTGATGATATGGGTATGGATGAGTTTGTTCAGGAGTTTTTAAAGGGAAAGGTTTAGAATTGCTTTGGGAATGTAAAGGGCAGAGGAAAGAGGAGATCTGAGGCGGTGAACATAGCCAGAGAGCAGAAGTGTCAGGAAAAGGGCAGTGTCAGGGTTTCAAGAAGAGAGGGATTAATACCATGTATTAATCAAAGCAGCGTCAAAGAGAAGTCAGGGAGGCCCGACTGAAGAAGTCATTAGGTTAGTAAATGAAGTATTTTTAGTGAATTGGTGAAGACTAAAGTCATGTTGTAGCTTATGAAGAAGAAATAGCATAAACCATTGAAGGTCGGCTGTGAGAGGAAGGAGAGGTTGATAGTAGCTAGAGGATTTGTAGAGTCAAGTGAAGGATTTTTTTTTTTTGGTGTCAATTTTATCTATCTTTTTAAAACATTTGTGTTTTTGAATTGATACATAATAAATGTACATACTTTTGGGGTTCATGTGATAATATATTTGCATAATTTGTAAAGATCCAATCAGTGTAAATGGGATATCCACTACCTTTAACATTTGTCTTCATGCTAAGAACATTCAAATTATTAAATTATTCTCTTCTAGTTATTTTGAAATATACAATAGACTATTGTAAACTATGGTCACACTACTGATCTATCAAGTTGTACTCATTAATCAGCCTCTCTTAATTCTCCCTTGACCCCTACCCTTCCCAGCCTCTGGTAACCATCAGTCTATTGTGTCTTTATGAGATCCTTTTTTTAGCTCCCACAAATGAATGAAAACATGTGATATGTGTCTTTTTGTGCTTGGTGTATTTCACTTAACGTAGTGACTTCCACCTCCATCCATGTTGCTATAAATGACAAGATTTTATTCTTTTTTATGGCTGTATAGTATTCCATTATATATATACCACATTTTCTTTCTCCATTCATCCATTGTTGGGCACTTAGGTTGATTTCATGTTTTGGCTGTTGTGAACAGGGCTGTGATAAAGACAGGAGTGCAAATAACTCTTTGATATATTGATTCCCTTTTTTTTTTTTTTTCTTTTTTGGGATATATACCCAGTAGTAGAATTGCTGGATCATATGGTAGATCTACTTTTAGTTTTTTGAGGAACTTCCACACAGTTTTCCACGGTGGCTTCCACCAGCAGTATAGGAGCATTCCCCTTTTTCCATATCCTCACCATCATCTATTATTAGCTATCTTTTTGATGAAAGCCATTTTAATTGGAGTGAGATGATCTCATTTTGGTCTTGACTTGAATTTCTCTAATGATTAGTGATGTTGAGCATTTTATATCTATTGGACGTTTGTATGTCTTTTGAGAAATGTCTATTCAGACCTTTTGCCCATTTTAAAATTGGATTATTTGTCTTTTTGCTGTTGAGTTGCTTGAGCTGCTTATGTGTTCTGGTTACTAATCCCTTGTCAGATGGATATTTTGCAAATATTTTCTCCCATTGTGGGAGTGTCTCTTTGTTGTTTCCTTTGCTGTGCAGAAGCTTTTTAGTTTTATATAATCTGTTTATCTGTTTTTGCTTTGGTTGTCTGTGCTTTTGAGGTCTTACACAAAAAATCTGCCTGGACTGATGTCCTGTAGCATTTCCCCAGTGTTTTCTTCTAGTAGTTTCATAGTTTCAGGTTTTTAACCTATTTTGATTTGATTTTCGTATATGGCGTTTAATCCATTTTGATTTTTGTATATGGTGAGAGATCGACATCTAGTGTCATTCTTCTGTATATAGTTATCCAGTTTTTCCAGCAACATTTATTGCAGAGACTGTTCTTTCCTTAAGGGCTTTTTGTAACGTGACAGATTAAAGTGTATTTATATACCGAGGGGAAAGAGCCAGTAGACAAAGAGATACAGGAAAGAGAGAAATTAATTAAAGGAGTAATGTCATGAGAAGGTGAAGTTTATAAATATCATACAGTAGCTATGAACAGATGCTAATGTTAGAAATGAACTCCTATAGGAGGTGGCCACATTAATGGCATTGCAGGATGGCCCTCTCAGAGAGAATGGAAAAAGGCATTGCAGAAATAAGAACTTTGCTCTGGCTATGCCTATAGCATCAATTGGTCGTTTTCATGGTTTTTAAAATCTCAACCTCATGCAAAGTTGAGGGCTCCCTAACAAAACAAAATATTTTTTTAAAACTAATGTTTCAAATCTTAGTGATTCCTGGTTGATCTGTGTATCAAAATTCTATAGCTAGAAAAGCATTTGGACAGTTTCTGAACTTGGAGTTTATGGAACTTTGACATACACATAGTTTTCAAAGCTTAAATCCCCAGAAGCTTGTCAAACCAAAGTAGCAATTGGATCAGAATTCCTCTTAAGGAATCACCAAATATTATGCACAAAAATTTAGTGTGAGCTATGTGTTTAAACTCTAAAGTACTGGAAGAAAATAATTAAAGAACCTATTAGTTTTTTGAGACTAGAGGATTGGTTTCCTTGAATAATTTTTATTCCTCACTGATTTGTGTTTATAGAATACTTTTATGTTTGTTTTCAAAACTAAGAAGTAACTAAAGTTTGGTTTTTATTCTGCATTTACTGGCTCTTTCATCACTATCACTGTTTTATATAAACTGTCTAACACTTTAAAATGATACAAATCTTGCTAATTTGATTATGTTTGAATCACCACTGGATTTTTTACTGTTACCTTATTAACTCATAAATGGGTCTTTATTTTTTACTGAAAGCTGTATATTATAAATGCACTGTGGAAGATAGGTTCTGTCCTTTATAGAGGGTAAGGAATGTATAATTCTGCCACATGTGATAGAAAATGTCTTATTTTTAATATGTGTAAACAGAACAGTTGCTTTTAAGCAGTGCTCAGTATTATATGTATATATCATATGCCAGGTTCAGGAAACTGAGATTCTATCTAAATATATGAGAAAACTGTTTGTTGTCTAGGCTTTTTGTTAGATTATCTCTGACTACCTCTGACTTGAGACATTTTGTGAAATTTCTTCATTTTTTTCTAGCTATAAAATGATACTCTTGCTAAATGCATCATGATTGTACTGTGACAATTTTGAGTTTATCTTTTGATGGAAAAATCTTAATGTACATTAATAGCTGATGATAATTTATAAAACTTTTTTAATCTGATAAATCATTTAATTCATCTTTTGAAATGTCAGGGTGTACTGATGGTTGGACCCCCAGGCACTGGTAAAACTATGCTAGCTAAAGCTGTTGCCACTGAATGTGGTACAACGTTCTTCAACGTTTCCTCTTCTACGCTGACATCTAAATATAGAGGTGAATCTGAGAAGTTAGTTCGTCTGTTGTTTGAGATGGTGAGTGACGATAAATTCAGATTTTAAAGTAGTGTGTGTAGGCCTATGATGCTCCCATAAATCAGTTCTGTCCACCTGGAATCTTTTTTGAAAAGGGCAGTGTAGTTCTATTTTAATAGTTCTTGACACACTGACGAGAAATGGGATGATGAGTTTTGTGGGGTAGTTGGTGTATCTTCAGTGTGTCTTTTTCTTTAAGGTACAGCAAGGCCTTTTGGCATCCTGTCCACTGAGGGTGGAGGAAGAGACTTTGGTTGTGTGTGTGGGTTGACTGGTATTTCTGCATCTCTAGTGAGCTGATGGAAGAGAAGAATATTTTAATATGTATTTTAAAAGTCAGAGCCTGACCTGTCATTAAAGTTTATTCCTTTTTCATATGGGATTTGCAGTAACTTAAGAATGTATATGTGAGGATTGAGATTGACTTATTTTTGAAAAATTTTTCATTATGGAAATTTTCAGACATGAATGTAGAAAGCATAGTACAATGAACCCCTATGTATCTATCACCCAACTTCACCAGCCATATAACCTTTATTTTTAGAAATTTCTTTTTTCTCATGGGAATGATTGATTTAGCCTTTGCCATAACCAGGTGATGGCATTAAAACAGTGAGAAGTTTCTGCTCTCTTTTGCCATTGCTTTAAAAGATTCTTTTAAGTACTCCGATTGTTTTATGAGATTATTGAATGATTTCTTTAAAATATTTTCATAAAGGCTAGATTTTATGCCCCTACCACGATCTTCATTGATGAGATAGATTCTATCTGCAGTCGAAGAGGAACCTCTGATGAACATGAGGCAAGTCGCAGGGTCAAGTCTGAACTGCTCATTCAGATGGATGGTAATTGATATTTCATTATTGTTTCAAAACTCTTATTTTTCAATATTTTGTGTAAACTCATAATCAACGGATGGATTAGAAGGCAACCTAAGTTTAATTATTTGTTCATTCACCCATTTGTTCATGCACCCAGAAAGCATTGCACCATTTCAGGTTCTGAGGTTACAAAGAAAAAGGCTACTATGGCCTTCAAGGAGCTTACTATTTGGAGCAAAGGTTCTAGAGGCGTGATCTAGAGTCCTAGGGATCCTTGAGACCCTTTAAAGAATCTGCAAGGTCAAAACTATTTTCATAGGAATAGCAAGTCATCGTTTGCCTTTTCTTTTTCACTCTCATTCTCTCACAATGTACAGTAGAGTTTTCTAGAGGCTGTAAGATGTAGGGTATCATAAAAGGTAGAAAGCAGAAGCAGATATGAGAATCCAGCTTTTCTCTAGTTAGACATTAAAGAGATATGCAAAAATGTAAAAAAAAAAGCCCCTCTACTTTTTAAAAATATTTTGGAAAACACACTTTTCATTAAAATATGTAAATAAGTAATGAATTTATCATTTTTAAGTGAACTAATATTTTTAAATTTCAATTTTAGGTTTTTTCTTTTTTTTCTTATAATTTACCCATGCACCATCTATTTTAAGTTTTAAAGATATTGATAGATACACTCCACACACAAAAAAGCTGTTTGGGGTTCTTAATAATTTTTTTTTTTTAAGGTTCAGAGTCTTGCTCTGTTGCCCAGGCTGGAGTACAGTGGTGTGAACACAGCTTGCTGCAGCCTTGACCTCCTGGGCTCAAGCAATCCTCCTGCCTCAGCCTCCTAAGTAGCTGGGACCACAGGCGCATGCCACCACATCTGGTTAAGTTTTATTTTTTTGTAAAGACAGGGTCTCGTCGTGTTTCCCAGGCTGTAGTTGTACTCTTGAGCTGAGGTGATCCTCTGGACTCAGCCTCTCTAAGTGCTAGGATTATAGACATGAGCCACTGCATGCAGCCTCAGTAATTTTTAAGAGTATAAAAGGGTCCTGAGATCAAACAGTGTGAGAACCACTGATCTGGATGAGAAGCAGGCAACTGATCAGATGAGTATAATACATTTTGGTACATTCTGGGGTAGAAGTAAAGTCTGGGTGCAGTGGAAACACAGGAGAGGCACCACCAAGACTAAGGGGGAGTCATGGAAAGAGATAGCCGAGTTGGACTTTGAAGCATTGGTAGGAGTTATCCAGACAGAGAAAAAGGGCCCTGAGGAGCCTTAGAAGGAAGAGGGTTATGGGCTCAGAGCTGCCGTTTAGAGATAAGTTACTCTGGTAGTTAGTTGTGTGGTAGACAAGAGGCTGTTCAAGCAAAACATTAGAACAGATAAAATATGTTTAAAAATATCCAGGGTGAGGGACTGAGTGCAGTGGCTCATGCGTGTAGTCCCAGCACTTTGGGAGGCTGAGGTGGGAGGATCACTTGAGGCTAGGAGTTCAAAACCAGCCTGGTTAACATAGCAAGACTTGAAGCAACAACTTTAAAAAGTAGCTGGGTGTGGTGGCACGTGCCTGTAGTCCCAGCTACTCAGGAGGCTAAGGTGGGAGGATAGCCTGAGCCGCAGGAGTTGGAGGCCACAGTGAGCTGTAATTGTGCCATAGCACTCCAGCCTGGGCAACAGAGCAAGAACCTGTCTCATAACAACAACAACAAAACACCAGTAATATCCAAGTTGTATTGTTTCAAAACAGTCATGGTTATTCATCAACTATGGATACTTACTGAATACTTACAATGTACTATGAGACCCTTCCCTCAATGAGTTTACCATTTTAACTTTTGCTAAAATATGAGAGAAAGGAATGAGTATGTTTTATTTTTGAGGTGGGATATAGGGGAAAACATTAGGTGTTTAAAATTGGAAAAGGAAATTACTGAATACAAATTTAGCTGAATTTCATTGAGGGATATTTGTGATTATTGTTGATTATTAGTTGGACAGCTTGATTCTTTGTCATAATGATTGGAGTTTAGTAATAAGAAAACGTTGTAAGTTTCAGTGAGCCAACATCATGCCAGAGCACTCCAGCCTGAACAATGGAACCAGACCTTGTTTTTTAAAAAAATAACTATATTGAGCTAGGTTGCTTTAAATCCACTAGTACTTTATTATGCCAGACTAGAAAGTCTTATCAGTAAAATTTACGGGTTTTTTATCTTTTATTTTTCACTACATATTTTCTAGAGTTTCTGTTGTGTGACCTGAAATTTTTTATTCTAAAAAGGAGACACTGTGTACGTACATGTAGTTCGTTTGGTTTTTTTTATCTGTGATTACTGGGTTCATTCTTAAATGTCTTGTTTGTTTTTTACAAGTCACTTAAAAGTTTAAAGGACAACATCATGGAAATATAACCTGTCTTTCAAAATTATAATTGCATGCTAGAATATTAAGTAAATGTGAACCCTCTGTTTCCACTTCTTGAGAAAATAGACTAAAAACTAAAGTAAAATATTTGCAGAACTTTATGATTTCAAAGAAATAAGAGGAATAAAACAGAGCCTAATCTCCCATGCCTTTTCTTTTCAGAGGAAATATACATTCATTTTCTTACAGAAAAATGGATATTTTTATTGGATTAAAATCCTGCACTGGGTTACACAAGAAAAAAACAAAAAAAGAAAAATCCCACACTAGGTTATGTGAATTCTTCTACTTCTTTGTTTTGTAGTTATCTGTTGATGAGTCTGGTTTTGCCACCACACAGAGGTTAGGACTACACTGTCTTCTTCATCATTGATTCTGTCACTTTGGCTAACAGAAATGTTAACTGAATGAAAGTGTAAAGGGTTGTAAGAAAAACACTATCTTTTCCTCCCTTCCTGTGTATAGGAGTTGGAGGAGCTTTAGAGAATGATGATCCTTCCAAGATGGTTATGGTATTGGCTGCTACTAATTTCCCGTGGGACATTGATGAAGCTTTGCGAAGAAGGTTAGAAAAAAGGATATATATACCTCTCCCAACAGGTATGATGCCTTCTCTATTTTGAGCTTTCTGTTACTTTCTGTTACCTTTCCCATGTATCTGAATCTTTATTCCATTGCCATTCTGCTTAAAGAAGCAGAATAACATCACAAAACTAATTTGTAGTAGATGTGAACACAGGCCACAGTACTCTATTGAAATTTCTTACGTTTCAAGAGAAATTCTTAAATTTGGAACAAGTTATTCATGTTAATAAATATGGTAGCACTTTTAAGTTTTCACTTTTAAACTTGAAGGTTTTTTAAAATCTTTTTCAAAACATGCTGTTTTGGAGTGAGTGTGTGTGTGTGTGTGTATTTTTATTTTTTTATTTTTGAGACAGAGTCTTACTCTGTTGCCCAAGCTGGAGTGCAGTGGCGTGATCTGAGGTCACTGCAACCTCCACCTCCTAAGTTCAAGTGATTCTTGTGCCTTAGCCTTCCGAATAGCTGGGATTACAGGTGTGTGCCACCACACCCAGCTAATTTTTGTGTTTTTAGTAGAGACAGGGTTTTGCCATGTTTTCTAGGCTGGTCTCGAACTCCTGGCCTCAAGTGATTTCCTGTCTCGGCCTCACAAAGTGCTGGGATTACAGGTGTGAACTGCCACGCCTGGCCTGGAAAATATAATTTCATCCTGTTAATGAATGCTGAAATTTCCGTACATGAATTTTTTCTTTTTATTTTGAGGTAAAATGTGCATAGAATGAAATGTACTTAAGTATATAATTTGTAAGAGTACAAATCAGTACTCCTGTTTAATCAATACCCTAATCAAGATGTAGGGCATTTCTATCATCCTATAAAGTTCCTGTGTGCTCCTACCAGCTAACCCTCCAATAGGCATTCACTGTACGTGATTTTTATCACCATAGATTAGTTCTTTCTCTTGTTAAACTTCATATAAATGGAATCGTAACAGCATGTACTCACTGTGTCTGGCTCCTTTCACTTGAGGTTCATCCATGTGATCACATGTATCAGCAGTTTATTCCTGGTTTGATTATACCACAATTTCTTTATTCTCCTTTTGATTGGTATTTAAGTTATTTCTAGTTTTTTGGCTATGATGAATAAAGCTGTAAACTTTCTTGTACATATTTTTTTTATGGATGAATGTTTTCAATTCTTTTGGATAATGTAAGAAAAGAAAGAATGGGTCATAGGGTAGGCATATGTTTAGCTTTTATAGGAAATACCCAAATTATTTTTCAGAATGGTTGTACCATTTTGTATTCCATCATCAATAAATGGTAATTCAAATACTTCCGTATCCTTGCCGACATGTGGTGTTGTCAGTATTTTAATTTCAGTCATTCTAGTAAGTATGAAATGCTATCTCATGATTTTAATTGGTATTTCTCTGATGACTTACGTAGAGTACCTTTTTATGTGCTTTTCATGGTCATGGTATACTTTTTGTGTAGTGTCATTTCTTTTTCCCAGTTTTTAATTGGATTATTTGTTGCTTTATTAATGCTTTTTATGTTATTAGATCTGTGCATTGTGAATATTTTCTTCCAGTTTGTGGTTTGCTTTTGATTTTCTTTATGGTATCTCTTAATAAGTAGACATTTTACATTTTGATGAAGTCCTGTTGACAATTTTTTTAAATGAATAGTACTTTTAGTGTTTTAAGAAATCTTATCTATCCCAAAGCTGCAAAGTTTTTCTCCTGTTTTCTTTTGGAAACTGTATTTATGTCTGTGATTCCTCTTGAATGAATGTGTGTGTGTGCGTGTGTGTGTGTGTGCAGATGAGTAATTTTTTTCATATATGCAGTTGTAGCATCACTTACTGAAAGTTTTATTTTTTCATTGAATTACTTCGGCACCTTCATTGAAAATTATTTTGTTGTGTATGTGTGGGTCTGTTTCTGAATACTATTCTGTTCCATCGTTTTTTAAATCCACACACATGGTTACCTAAGTTACTTGTTTTTTTCTTGAGCAAGCTTTGGTAACTTGTGTCTTTCAAAGAATTTGTCTATTTTTTATAAGTTGTCAGATTGTTTTGGATTTGACCTAATGTGAATGTGGAAGCTGATTAAATAGTTATGAGAGATGGTGGATTTCATGTCTGGTTCTGGAACTTGAAGTCAATAAGGAGGGCACTTAGGAAGAGATGATGAATGTGAAGTGGTAGAAGTAAGGACAAACTCTACCTGTGGAGGTAGAATCCATGAGGATACATTGAAATCTGTGTTGAACTCTTTTTTTTCTGCTGAGACTCCTAACCTTGATGAATGGGCTTTCTGACAGAAGAAGCTAGCTAAATGTATACCTGGCTCAAGAGTCAAGAAAGCTGAAGGGGCCGGATGCGGTGGCTCATGCCTGTAATTCCAGCACTATGGGAAGCCGAGGCGGGCGGATCACGAGGTCAGGAGATCAAGACCATCTTGGCTAACACAGTGAAACCCCGTCTCTACTAAAAATATAAAAAATTAGCCAGGCGTGGTAGTGGGCGCCTGTAGTCCCAGGTACTCGGGAGGCTGAGGCAGAAGAATGGCATGAACCCGGGAGGCGGACCTTGCAGTGAGCTGAGATCGTGCCACTGCACTCCAGCCTGGGGGACAGAGCGAGACTCCATCTCAAAAAAAAAAAAGCTGAAGGAAGAAATGTGGCAGAAACTACAAAGAGCTGAAGGTGCAAGTGCTGCCCCACACTAACAAGGAGAACGGAGACCCAAGAAATAAGTGACAGTATGTGCCAGCTTTCTGAGATGATTCATTTTTGCCTTTCACGTCTCAGACATAACTCATGTGGTCCACAATAACCCAGAACTATGCAATAAAGAGAATTCTGGGAAATGAAATTCTAGCTTCACGTGAGTTGGCATAATACAAATCTACACACCTTATTTTCTTTTTTTTGGCCATAGGATCTGTAGTGATGGCTCATTTTTTCATTCCTAATGTTAGTAATTTGTCTCTATTGTTCTTCATAATTTTTGGTTGAGATTTATCAATATTGTTAATCTTTTCAAAGAACCAAATTTTTGCTTTGTTAATTTTCTATTTTCTATTTCAGGGATTTCTTCTCTCTTTAAAACAATTTTTTTTGCTTTATACTTTGAGTATAATTTTTTCTTTCTGAAGTTAGAAACTAAGATTATTGATTTTAGGGATAGCCCTCTCCCACTTTTTTTTTTAAGAGACAGAATCTTGCTCTGTTACCCAGGAGTGCAGTGGCATGATCGTAGCTCACTGCAGCCTCAAACTTTTGGGATCAACAGATCCTCCCACCTCAGCCTCTTGAGTAGGGACTGCAAACACATGCCACTGTGCCTGGCTCATTTTTTTTATTTTTATTTTTTGTAGAGACAGAGGCTTGCTGTGTTTCCCAGGCTGGTCTCAAACTCCTGGCCTCAAGCAATCCTCCCGATAGCACTGGGATTGCACATGTGAGCCACTGCACCTGGCCTTTTTTTCTTTTTTTAATGTGTACATTTTAAAGCTATAAATTTCTCATTAAGTACTGCTTTGCTTTTATCTCACAAATTTTGCTATATCTTTTTTTCCTATTAAGTTAGAACTATTTTCTAATTTTCCTTTTTTTTCCCCCTTTCTTTGGTCCTTGAGTTATTTAGCATTTAAATTGGTTTGGGAGCCAAATAACTGGGGTATTTTCTAGATATCTTTTTGTTGATTTTTAATTTAATTCCATTGCAGTCAGGAACATACTCTGAATGATGTCAATTTTTGAGCTGCTTGAGATTTGCCCTTCAGCCTATAGTCTATCTTGGTGAATGCTCCAGATGCAATTGAATAGATTGTTTATTCTGAGCTTGTTATAACATTCTATAAATGTCAGCTAGATGAAGTTGGTGTGATAGTGTTATTCCAATAATAAGATCCTTGCTGACTTTTTAATCTAGTTTTTCTATCAATTACTGAGAGTGGCTTATGGAAATCTTCATCTGTGACTGGGAACTTGTTCATTTCTCCCTTTAGTTCTTTCAGTTTCTGTGTTATGTTTTGCTTCATGTGTTTTGATGTTCTGTTGTTAAGTAAATAAATTATCATTGTTATATCTTCTTGGTCCTATTACCACTATGAAATGCCTCTCTATCTCTGAGAATACACTTTGACTTGGTATCTGCGTTGACTGCTATTAATTTAGCCTCACTGTCTTTCTTTTCCTATTGTTGGTGTGCTAATATGCTTTTCATCTTTAATTTTTACCCCAACCTGTCTTTATATTTACAGTGCAGTTTTTATAGACAGCATATAGTTGAGCCTTGCTGTTTGTCCAGTCTATCTCTCTTTGTTTGTTTGTTTGAGTTGGAGCCTCACTCCGTTGCCCAGGCGGGAGTGTAGTGGCGCGATCTCAGCTTACTGCAACCTCTGCCTCCCAGGTTCAAGCGATTCTCCTGCCTCAGCCTCCCAAGTAGCTGGGACTACAGGCATGTGCCACCATACCTAGCTAATTTTTTTGTATTTGTAGTAGAGACAGGGTTTTGCCATGTTGTCCAGGCTGGTCTTGAATTCCTGAGGTCAGGTGATTTGCCCACCTTGGCCTCCCAAAGTGCTGAGATTATGGGCGTGAGCCACTGTGCCTGGCTGTCTCTGCTTTTTAATAGAAGTATTTATTCCATTTAAATTTAATGTAATTAGTGATATAACTGTGTTTAAGTCTGCCATCTTGCTGTTGTACTGTTTGTTTCTCTGTACCCCCCTTGCTAATTTCTTTTGGGCTAATTGACTGTTTTTACTATTCATTTTAATGCCATTAGTGGATTTTTAGCTGTACCTGACTATATTTATTTTAGTAGTTGCTCTAGCAATTATAGTATGCATAATTTTATATAGTTGTGTGTGCTTTTATCTTTTAAATTGTATGCCTAAATCAAAAGTGATTTATATACCACCACCGTTATAGTACTACAGGATTCTGTACCTATCTTATATTTACCTTTATTAGAGAACTTTATATTTTCATTTGCTTTTGTGTTGCAGTCTAGTATCCTTTTGTTTCAATTTGAAGGACTCCATTCAGCAATTT